TACAACTATGACATACAACTACCTACTGGGGCTTTGGGGAGAAAAAAGGAAAAAAGAGAAAGATTGGCAACAGATGTTAGCTCGGCCAATCTTCCTCACAAAAAAAAAAAAAACCAAACTTTTTCAGTGTTCCATTTAACTTGTCTATTGTGATCTCAACATATCTCTTTGTATAATTTTTTTAGTTGTTGTAACAACATGCATACTTAACTTTTTACAGTCTATTTAGAGTCAACATTTTATCACTTCTATTGGAATGTGGAAACCTTACCACCATATGGATCCCTTTACCCTCCCCTATATATCCTATAGTTATCTTACATGTTATATCTACGTATGCTGAAAATGCCTTCAATGTTAAACTTTTTGTTTTCAGCTCTCAAATATATTTTAAGTAACTCAAGAGGAGAAAAATGGTGTATTATATTTACCTAGATAGTCTATTCTGTTTACCATTTTGTGACTCTCTCTTCATTCCTGATGTTCCAGGTTTTCTTCTGGTATCATTTACCCTCTATATGAGAAATTTACTGTAGCAATTCTTTTATAGCAGGTCTGCTGGCTACAAATTTCCTTAGGATTCCTCCATTTGAAAATGTCTTTATTTCTTCGTCATTTCTGGAGGTTATTTTTGCTGGATATAGAATTCTTTTCTTGACAGTTCTTTCCTTTTAGCACTTCAAAAATATTGTGCCACTTCCTCTGGCCTTTATGGTTTCTGTGAGAAATCCACAGTCATTTAACTCCTTGCTGCCTTATGGGTAATGTTATTTTTCTCTAACTTCTTTCAAGATTTTATTTATTAATTTTTTTATCTTTGATTTTCAGCAGTTTGGTTATAATATGTCTGAGCATGGATTTCATTGGGTTTATCCTGTTTGATGTATGCTCAACTTCTTGAATCTGTAAGTTTATATCTTTCCAAACTTGAGAAGTTTTCAGCCACTGTTTCTTCATATATTTTTCAACACCACACTCTTTCTCTTCTCCTTCTGGGACTCTGATGACATGAATGTTATACATTTTGTTGTTGTCCCACAGTTTCCCTGAGGCTCTCTTCATTTTTTTTAAAACTTTTTTCTGTTTTTCAGATTTGATCATTTGCATTGATCTATTGTCTTTAAGTTCACAGACTTTTTCCTTTGTCATCTCTATTTTGCTAGTGAGCCCTTCCAGTAAGTTGTTTTTGGTTTTGTTTTTTGGTGAGACCCTGAAGTAGAAAACCCAGCCAAGCCGTGCCTGGACTCCTGACCGCAGAAGCTGTGAGATAGTAAATGTGTGTTGTCCTAAGCTGTTAAGTTTGTGGTGATTTGTTACCCAACTATTTAAACTAATACAATAATACTAAAAAAGACCAGTCCATGATCTATACAAAAAAACTCCAAGAAAAAGGGAAAAGCACACAAACAAATGGCAAAAGAAATGTGCTCACCAGAATAATACTGCCACAGAACAGGTGAAAAATGAGAACAGATGTACTGTCTTCAAAAAAACTTGATAAAGCAGCTTGAAACAAGATATCAAAGCAAAGAAACAGAGGTCAAGGAAAATATGGCAAGACAACAGAAGATGAAACTGCTGGTAGAGCATAGGAAAAATGCGAAAGAGGAAAGTAGAACTGTTACAGAAATGAAGATCACATTGAAAACAGCACAGGAACCAAAAGTGCTGGAAAACGCAGTAAGGAATATGAAGGGCATGCCTGAGAAATGCAAGCAAGGAATTTAAAAGATTATGGAGAAAATTATAACTATGCACTGATAAACCAGATTCAGGATGTAAATAATTGGAAGCTCTCAAGAACAGAACCAGAGTAATAGAACAGAAAATAAAGCTGTAGATAGATATCTAGATATTTAAAGAAATAATAAAAAACTTCAGAAATAGAAATTCTTGTATCTAAGCATTAGAAGTGCCTACTATGGAATGTAAGTTGGTGCAGCCACTATGGAAAACAGTAGGAAGTTCCTCAAAAAATTAAAAATAGAACTACCATATGATCCAGCAATTCCACTTCTGGGTATTTATCAGAAGAAAATGAAAACACCAACTTGAAAAGATATATGCATCCCCATGTACATTGAAGCATTATTTACAATAGCCAACACATGGAAACAACCTAAGTGTCCATTGATGGATGAATGGATAAAGAAGATGTGATGTAAATATATATACACAATGGAATACTATTCAGCCATAAAAAAGAATGAAATCTTGCCATTTGTGACAACATGGATGGACCTTGAGGACATTATACTAAGTGAAGTAAAGCAAACAGAGAAAGATAAATACTGTATGATCTCACTTATATGTGGAATCTAAAAAAAAAAAAAAAAAAAGCCAACAAGCTCACAGATACAGAGAACAGATTGGTGGTTGTCAAAGGTGGAGTTGAGGGAGTGGGCAAAATGAAGGGGGTCGGAAAGTGCAAATTTCCATTTATGAAATAAGTAAGTCATGGGGATGTAATGTACAGCATGGTAACTATAGTTAATAATACTGTATTGCATATTTGAAAGGTGCTAAGAGGGTAGATCTTAAAAGTTCTCATCACAAGAAAAAAGTTTTGTAACTATGTATGGTGATGGATGTTAACTAGACTTACTGTGGTGATCATTTTGCAATATATACAAATATCAAGTCATTGTGTGGTACACCTAGAACTAATATAATGTTATGTGTCAATTATACTTCAATTAAAAATAAATAAAATAAAAACAATCTTGTAAAGAAAGAAAAGAAAGTGCATACTATGTGCCAGGAAAAGGTGACACAAAAAAATAGTCACCATTTAGACATTGCCTAGTAAGTTAGAGGAAAAGAAGGAATCCTTTAAGCATCCAAGCAAAAATGTAAGATCATTTATTAGAGAGTTTAACAGTCTGGGTTGAGTCAGGAAAACAGCCACTCTAAGTATCCCAACAATATAGTGTTTCACATAGGAAATACAGCTTACATGAATGCTGTCAACTCCAGGGGAGCAAAGGGCAGAGAAGTTGCCATGGAAAGGCAGAGGAACTGTAGTGAAAGGGTCGGGGAAGCAGACATTGAAGACCTCTTAGCCTGAAGCACCAAAATAGGTGGCTCTCAAAAGCTTACCAGGAAATTGCTGCAATTCTCAAGAATCTTGGAGAAAGCTCCCACGAACCGTCTCAGCATTTGGCAGCAAAGCAGATAGTTTCTCATTCCACCAAGAAGCCACTGAATTGCACATCCATTCAGGTTTCTGGCTAACAACCACCTCTGGAGAATAATGGTCTCCAGTCCTCTTAAATCTTCCAAATTTCACTTGCAGTTCTTTCATTGGCAAACTCTAAGCTGAAGCTATACAGAGAAAGGAATCCACGGAAAGGTAGTTAGTTCCCTGTTTCAGCTCTACAATATAGAATCAACTTTACACTGGTGTGGTAGTAATGCCGCATTGGTAATTTGGCAATCCTGCATTGGGGGGTAAAATTCAGGCTTGCCTCAAACTTATCTACAATAACAGTCAATGCTAAGAGACAATGGAGTAATGCCTATATTGTCCTTAATGCAAGAAGTGTCAACCAAGAATTTGCATTCAGCCAAACCTATTATTTAAGTATAAGCAAATAGACAAATATTGTGGGAACATGCAGTACTTGTGCTACATAGTTCTCATGAACACTTGGTCAGTAAATTCCTAGAGGATGACTTTCACCAAAAAGAAGAGATGAATGGAAAAGTGAAAAACTGGACTAAGTGAAAAAAGTGAAAGAACTACCCAGAAGCATTGAATCTTAATTGATAGACAAAGACTAAAACAAATCTGAAGGTTGTAATTACAAAGAAAAATGTAAATATAATAAATTTTGGCAATATACAAGTGATATAAGTAATAAAACTTGGGAGAAAAGAGGTAGAAAAATGCGCTTAATTTCCTCCTCTTTTATAACCAGTGGCCAAAAGATATTATTTAAAGCAGATAAATCCAACAATAGAACTGTAAGTAAAATTAAATGTATTTAAACATTTAATCAAGTGCAAGAGTAAAAGAAGAATGTCATTAGTGAAAATTAGTGATGAGAAAGGAAAGATGCAAAGAAGAAACTAGTTATATCATTGCTCTTACTAAGCAATCAATAGATACACATACACAGAATGAAGTAGAAAAAAAGACTATATGGTAAAAGATTTTTTTAAAGGAGCTATAAATAGAAATCATTACGTAAAATATGAAGTAATAAATAAGACCAAGCACAGAAGGCTAAAATAACCTCAAAGATCCAACAGAAGATCAGTTCTTCTCTAAGGTGCCCAAAGAATGATGTCAAAATTTTCCTCCAAGGGTAGTGTCATTGCAGGACAAAGCCGTTGGTTGCCATTGTGCTCTCTATGTGTGAAAACTCATTCTTCCTCCCACTCTCCTTCCTAGTAGAATCCAGGAATGGTTGTCTGACCTTCTTTGCCCAGCATGCAGGAGAAAGGAAATTTATTTCCTGAAAAGTGTTATAAGAGCCTTGAGCTGGATAGCAAAAGCGATGAATACCAGGCTGTAGAATTAACTTTGCCAACTAGGATATGAAGAGCAACTGAAAGCTTCTGAAAATAAGAATTCAATGAGGAAAGTGAGAAGATTCAGAGATTAATTTGGAATGATCTGGGGGTGGGGGGAAGAGAGATGAAAATAAGAGATGTTATAGAATCCTAGAATGTTGAGGCTGGAACAGTTTTTAGAGGGCAGAAGTGAAGTGGCTTATATAAGGTGACACGATGATGTAGAGACAGAGTTAGTACTAGAATCCACATCTCCTCACTCCTGTACTTCCATGCTTTCTCTAGCAGACCAGGCTGACTTTTGCTAAAAGAGAATGTCTTTGACTTTATGCCTGGCTCCTGGCTGGAGGGGGGACATCAAAGACGAGGACATGATGCCTAAGAACTAGGAGAATGATGTCATTGTTGTTGGAAAAATTATCCTATATTCTAGAGAAAAGATATTTTATGTAATTCTCTATGGACTTTCTTTTTCTTTCTAGGTAATGCAGATCGTGACCAAGCCATATGTATGTATTGTTGTCCTTTATTTCTTGAAAAATTTAGCTACTTTATGTGAAATCCAGCTTCCAATTCCTTCTCTCTTTACAGATTACCAATTTTGGTATCCAAGATGGGAAGTGCCCCGGCCAATTGTGTGTGATCCACTGTGCCTATTTATTTTCTTTCTGAGAATGCTATGTTTTTCACTATGTGCCACAGTTGTCTTGATAATACAGTCTCAGTTTCCAAATATATTACTGGAAGAACAGATGTTATTTACCCCTGAGGTGTCTGAAGTAGAGCCAGAAAAGGAGGAGGAAAACGAAGAGGAGGAGGAAGAGGACAGGGAAAGGGATGAGGAGAAAGGGGACAGGGAAGGGGAGGAGGAGGAAGAGAAGGAAGAAAAAGAAGAGGAAGAGGAGCAGTAAGATTTGCCACCGTCATAGGACAAAAGTATAATACAAAAAAGGCAAAAAACCCACAAAGAACAAAAACACTGAGCTTTGACAAGAAAAAATACATACAAACCACTGTTGCAATACCTTTTATTCCTTTCTTTCTCTTACTATTCAACTAATTTAAATTTGAAAAACAAATAAGGGAAAACACGTATTTTATAGTAAGTGTTATAAGGCAAGCTCTTGGACACTAAGTACAGGTAAAGATGTGATGATAGAAATACTAAAAAAGATTTGACCAGTCGCATTAATCTTAGCATTTCACTATGTTGTCCTGCTAAAGGAGGGAATTTCCATTTCCTAAATATGTTTCTGTCTCTGTGTTTTAAATATTTTTTGAGTGGAATAATAAGTTTCTTGAGTATTAAATAAGATTATACATATAAAGTGCTCAGGACCATTTGAAGTTCAGGACAACCATTTAATCACTTTTGGTTTTGTAGTTGTTATCATTACTATCACAGTTGTTATTGGTAGTGGTGGTGGTATTTTCCATGTGATATCAAGGCATCTAATATCATTTCTTTGTTGTATATGTGTTTGGAATGGCTTAAGTGGTACTTGTACATGCTGTTAGGAGACAAATTTGTTATTTCTACTTCACGTTAATATTTCATTAAAGCCTTGCTGTAATTCTTTACTAGGCTTTGTAATTTGTTGCCACCAAGGGCTAATAAATGTCAAAAATTAATTAGTTGTGATTGAGTAATCTGGCTGCTTCCAAATTTATGTGATAAAATAATTTTTTAAAAAGTTATCTACTTGTAGTTATTCAACATATATAGTAAAAGGTCATAAATTAGTAATATAAATTAACTACTTACCACTTGTACTACTAATAAATGGACTGAATAAAAATACCTAACATAGCAAAATACATCAAATGGTATAAACTCTATGTTTATTAACTCTATTATATTAAAAGCCTATCCTTAAATGGGGCAAGATGAGAATTATACAGAAAAGCCCTAAACTATCCTCTATTCGATAATTTCTGGTTTTTTGTTTGTTTTGTTTTTTTCCAGACCTCTGCTTTATATATATATATATATATATATATATAATTTCTATGAAGTCAGCCTCTTTTCTACCCAGCCTCCTGAGAAAAAGCCTTAGGTAGAAAAAAGGTCTGGTTCTCTACAGTGAGTTGATTTATTATTATTATCTTACATTTGTATACCACTTCATAGCTTCCAAAGTGTTTTCACATAATTATTTAATACCCAAAAGTACTCTGTGAAGTTGATATTGCTTCCATTTTTTAAATGAGAAAACTGACTTTGGATCTCTGAAGTCGTTCAACCTAGGACTGAGAACAAATTAATTTCTGAACTTTCTGATGCATTTATAAGTATAAATTCTTCATGATACCACGTTCAATTCACATTATGACTAACTTGTTATATATCTGTATATGGAACTTCTGCCCTTCTACATCTACTGTTCAATGTACTTTCCAGGTAATGTCATGGAATATGATTGCTATAAGTTAGTGGTTCTTAACTGGGGGCACTTTTGCCACCTCCCCCCCAGGTCATTTGGCAACATCTGGAAACACTTTTGATTGTCACAACCAGGAAAGTGCTGCTGGTATCTAGTGGGTAGATGCCAGGAGTGCTGCTAAACATCTTACAATGCACAGGACAGCCCCCACAGCAAAGAATTATCCGGTCCAAAATTTCAGTAGTGCCAAGGTTGAGAAACTCTGCTGTAGGCTTATTTCTACCCTGGACACATGTAAATTATGGATGTATTGGATATGTTGTTATATTTCCTTAAACTCATTTTTCTCAAAAGTGTTCTCCTGTTCTTTTTCGTATCCCCCTTTCCTCACCTTTCCATATCCATAGGTTACCACGGGAGCAGTCATTTTGTTATTGATATTCTGTCTCTCTAGTTTTGGGATGCTCCACTGACAACAGCTGGGCCCAGTCATAGTCTTTGGTTTAGGGATCCAGACAGATATTCAAGGCAGGTTCTCCTGGGTGGCTAAAGTTTTAATACGTAAAGCTCTGATGCTCTTTAGCAGACTGCATGGAAAGAAAGAATGAGACACACAGAAAGAAGCAGTGAAAGACTGTTGTCTCTGATACCTGGTTTTATCCCAACCTTCACATGAACCGTTTATTTCCCAAATATATCCTATTTCCATCCAGTAAGTTTTTTTTTTTCCTTAGGTTATTTTTAGTTGTATTTCTGTAACTGATTCAGTTGACAGAGTGTACTTACTATAATGTTATTTTCATTAAAATTTTCATTATTCTGAAGCAGCATAAACAATAATGGCACTAAAACTCAGTCTGTGGATGTCCTTCAAATCATCATGTAGTCAGAGGAACAGAATGTCTTCTTACATTTTATTTCCCAAATCTTTGTTCTCAATATCATCTCTAGCTCTCCCAGAACCACACCTGGGTGCTTAGAATACTTAGAATGTGTGCTTAGAATACTTATTTTTATTACAAGTTATAGGTTGACTCCTTTAGTAGCATAAGAGATTATTAGCATGAATCCCAGAGATATCTGGGAAAATTACCCTTCTGTTTCCATGGCACTGAGTTCAGGGATGTACTTTGACCAGGATGTTCTAGCCTAGATAGTATGGAGTGATGGATGAGCATTTGGTTCATTCCTTAAAGTACTGTGAATTCTGTTCTTCATCGTAAAACTCTGAGACTATTGAAATGCTCCTGGCCCTGGTAAGGTAATCTCCAGCAAGTGTCTATACTGCATTATGTGTAGGAATGCTCCGGCATATGAATGGGCCAGAGGAAGACAGATATGCTTCTAGTCTTTCATTCATTTATTCATACTTTAACCTCTGCAACCATACCTCTGCAACCATACATCTGCTGGTGAAGTTTAGTACTAGAAAGTTGCACCCTCTCCGTCCTGGAGAACATTGCTGATCTTTCTTCAATATATCCTGACATTCTTTTGTATCCTTTACATGAGTAAAACCTGTTTGATATTCTCAAGTGTTTGTGCCTTGTCTATCCATCAGTCCATTTACATTGTCAATACAGCAGTTGTGCAGAATGGCAGCCAATGGAAGTGGCACAAAGACTCCATATCCAATGTGGATAAATCTCTGTGGGGAAAACTCTGGGATAATAAAGGGGACAGAGATGATAGTGTGATGCCATGTTTGTTTTCTACTTGCCCTCGGTTTAGCTAAGGGCTTGAGAAAATGTGAAAGAATCAGTATACTTAGTCAATAAATAGACAAAACGTTAGTGATCCAATGCTGTCTTGAGTCCTCCATTTAAATGGTCAAGGATCGAGTATGTTATTCCTTGAAATGAGATAAAGGTGAAGATTGTTGGGTTTGCTGTAGGTTCCTCAGTTTCCCACAGCAATGAGCTATAGAGCTGTGTGGTAATAGACACTACACAAAGGGAGGCTGGGGAAAAGCAGGAATGATTACAGAATGTTCACAAGGAACAACACACAGCAATGGGGGAGGTGACTCTAGAAGGGGCAGGACCTGCAATTATTTAGCATAGTCATAAACCTCTTCTACATCATTTAATATAATGTTGCTGGGAAACTAGTGGGGGGCTGGGACAGAGTGGGAGGGCATTGGACAGTACCTTTCCCTTCTCTTCCATAGCAGAAATTCAACATTTTTGTCCTGAAAGAGGGAACTGCCAAAAACACATGCCTACTCAAATTCAAAATACCACCTGAGTAAGGGAAACATGATTATGGGCAGTATTAGACAAGATCTCTCAAAATATTTAAAATCTGAGGAGTACTATTGATATTCCCCTTATTAAATAGATTTGATAGAACTTGTCATTGGAGAAGACCACAATCACTAACCTTCAGACCACTCAAGTTGGAACAGTGCAGCATTGGTGACTAGTCTGCCCCACATAGCACTAACCAGTGCAGGAAAAAAAACCCCAAAACAAACAAACAAAAACAACTATCCAGCTGTAACTTATAGTTTAAAGGAACCCTTGCTATGTCTCTGGGCAAGAAGGTGCCAGTTTTGGGGAACAGGACCACGAAGCTTGCAGAGCACAAAGTCACCCAATGGGTCATTGGGAATGATGGCAATTAGGCCACTCCAGCTTCCACCCCCTTGGTTCCTGCTCCCATGTAGTCTTCGTGTAGGCAACTTACCCTTGCAGAGTATTGCCTCTAGCCTGGCATGTTAGCTGCACCTTCAAAAGACCATCCCAATGCTGTATCAAGCCAGAAATTTCTACATGGAGTGATGTGTAATCCAACCAGTGGATTCCGAGTCAGGGCGCCCCTGCTGAAAATCTTTCATTGTGAAGTGAGACATCTGATGGGATGCTAGCTTGTGTGGTATTCTGTTCCTGTGGATCAGGCACTCAGGAAACCCACATGTGGTGGTGTTGGCTAAGACTCTGAGGTCAGGAAAGTTAAACCCATACCCAGAAAAGATGTCAGAATAGGTGTCTATTCCAATGAGGATGAACCACTGTCTTTTCCAGGATGGAAGGAGCCCAGTGTAGTCAACTTACCACCAAGCGCCAATTGGTCTCCTCAAACAATAGTGCCATGTTGGGGACTCAGCATTCATCTTCATTGTTGGTAGATTCTTCATATAGAGGTACCTAGATCAACATTAATAAGTGTAAGTCCATGCAAATGGACCTATTTGTGGCCTCCATGCATTCCAAATTTCTGCCCATCATGCTAATTCTGGGTGGACGAAAGACAAAGGCTAGTTAATGTCAACTGGATCATTTTGTCTACTTGGTTGTTCAATTCTTCTGGGTGGCATTAACCTGTAAAACATTTCCACACACCATTCACACTCCCATATTTCCATCCACCTGTCTCTGCCCTAGACTTTCTTCTTTCTCATCTTTCAATCCTTTTCCTTCTGAACTCCTAACCCCTGGCCAGGCATTTGCTACTGTCCGTGTGTCCATATTGATTCTCATCTCAGGCCACTTATTCTGCCCTACAAAGTGGATGGCCAGGTGCAC